AATATTGATCAGTATTACTGTAATTATCAAAATGAAGATTATTCTGGTAAAAATAACATGTTTTTTTTTAAACTTCAACTACTGAGATTCATTTTTGCCAAGTTTTCCCAATTTATGAATTATTTTAGCCACCTACCTTCCTTCAGCCTAAGTAGATTGAATTAATGGTGCTTTTTATTTGTTTCCTTTTTAGTACTATAGTGAATGATGATGCTGATTGTGATGGTGATGATGAAATTCCATCTCTACATCAGTTTTCTACACTGATTTTAATTCTGCAGACGGCTTTTAGAAGCTCTTACTTGAGGATTTTCATGTTTTTAAATATTCATTTTTAAGTAGGGCAGAAGGTGAAACAATGAAAGAGAATCTACATTTGCATGTAAGCAAACTAAATTCTATTCTTTCACTCATATTAGAACATAGGTTACAGCAGGCATTGGCATAAAAGGAGAAATATCCACATTTGTTGTTAAGGAAATCACAAACTAAATGGTTTTCACAATGTTAGCTGAGAACCGGTGTGATAATAGAAGCTGGTGTTCATTGAAATGGAATGGAGGCCCCAATGAAAACAAAAAAGCACTACAAAAATACTAGTTTTCCCTCTGTCAATGCATCAATAGTGCTATCTGGAATGGCAATTCTTCACTCAGAAATGTGAAGTGCACAGGACAACATCTCTTTGGTTGACTTAACCATGGAATTCATAATAGGTATTTGGGGAAATGGATTGATTGGAATAATCAACTACATCAACTGGGTAAAACACAGGAAAATCACCTTCATTAACCTAATCCTCACCAGTTTATCCATAAGCAGAATATGCTTCTTATTGATGATACCGATTGATTTATTACTACTGGTGCTGTCTGCAGACCCACATAGCATTGGTCAAATTGGAAAAACTAATATACCATTTTGCGTGATGATTAACTACTTAAGTGTTTGGTTTGACATATGTCTCAGCATCTTGCATTTCCTGAAGATTGCTACTTTTTTTCCCAACCTCCTGTTCTTTGATTACAGTGGAGAATTAACATGGTGGTTAATATATTTCTGGGGTCTTTGCTCTTTTTTCTTTTTAGCATCCTGGTGATAGTCCACATAATTCCTGATTTTTATATCTAGAAACAAACAAGACTTGAAGGATTAATACCTGTGAAAATAAACCATTATTTTCTTAGTGCTCATCGGTGTTGAGATCACCATGCCCATAACTATTTCCATAGCATCGGTTCTTCTGTTACTTCTTTCTCTTTGGAGGCATATCCTGAGGATGAAGTTCAGTATCACAAGGTCCCAAGATCCCAGCAGTGAAGCTCTCGGAAAAGCCGTGAGAACGGTGATTTCTTTCTTCTTTCTATTTTTGATTTATATTGCATTGATTCTTATAATAGTTTACAGCCATTTTTTGTCCCCTAACAAGCTGATATGGATATTTGGTAAATTAATAGCATCTGCCCATCCTTTAGGCCATTCATTTATCTAATTATGAAAAAACAGCAAGCTGAAGCAAACTGCTCTCTTAGGATTTGGGGGCAGCTGAAGTGCTTTGTAAAATGAAAGAAATCATAAACAATAAAAAATGACTCTAAAAAGGAAAATATAAGTATGCTAAAAATGTTTAGGGGGTTTAAAAAATCTATTTCTACATTCTCCCAGTGGACTTTCTTATATTTTAAAACATTCATGGAATAGAATCTTTTCTATATGTCTAGAAATAAATATATACTTATTTATAATTATATAATTTCCCAATTTTATAATGAAGTCGGATGCATATTTTTTATATGTTGGATGACACTTGAGAATGTAGACAAACTGTATTCTTCTTTAAGAAAATATCCATCAGCTGTGTAACAGATTACTACAAATTTAGTGGCTTAAACCAACAAACACATGTATATCTCACAGCTTTTTTTGGGTCAGGAGTCTGGGCAATGTTTAAGTGTGTTCTCTGCTTCAGCATCTCACCAAACTGAAATAAAAGATTTGATTATATTGCATTCTAATCTATAGGCTTCACTGGAGAAGAATCCACTTCTAAGGTCACTCAAGTTGTTGGCAGAATTCATTTTCTTGCAGCCCTCTCCATAGGTACTTCATAACGTGGCTGCTTACTTCTCCAGGCCCGCAAGAACCTCTCTCACACACTGGGAGGCCCAGTCATTCTTATAAAGCTTTACCTGATGACATGAGGCCCATGAAGGATAGTCTCCCTTTCAATTAACTCAAAATCAGTTGATTCTATCTGCAAAATGCCTTCATGCTTGCCATATTCGGCAGGCCAGAAGTAAGTCACAGGTTCTGCCCACACTGAAGGAGAGGGAATGATATAGCGTGTGAACATCAGGGGGCACTAATCACGAGGAGAAAAAGTGTTCAGTTGTGATACAGTGCAATTTATTACTTTATTCATTATATGAATCATGTTTTTGGTATTGTACCTGAGAGGTCTGCCTAACTCAAGTTTAGAAAAGTTTTCTTTTAAGTTTATAGTTGTTCCTCCTACATTTAGGTCTCTGATCAATTTTTAGTTATTTTGTATATGGTATGAAATAAGGAACTAAATTCATCTATGTAAATGTGAGTATCTAATTGTTCCTACTTCATTTGTTGAAAAATATATCATTTCCCCATTGATTGCCTTGATACCTTTTTTAAAATCAATTGACCATGAATATAAATGATAATCTGGGCTCTCAATTGTGTTTCATTGATATACATGTGTGTCTTCATGAGAGAACCACACTATCCTGATTAATGCAGCCTCGTAGTAAACTTTGATATTAGGATGTGATAACATATCCTCCAACTTTGTTCTTTTTTTAAAAAAACTCTTTTTGCTCTTCTGAGTGCTTTGTATTAGGAATAGTTTTTCACTTTCTGCAAATAGAGCCTGCTGGGATTTGATAGGGATTACACTGAGTGTGTAGATCATCTCTTTACCTGAAAAGACTCTCCTCATTCCAGATTTCATTTCGGTTGGTCCTCCTTCCTTGCACAGCTCACTGATGAAATTAAAATATAATTTTGCCAATTGATTCCCTGTATCCTTGACTTTGTAGCAGGAAATTTTGCCTTTCTCAACCTGCTACGTTCATGAGTAGGAGTTCTCACAGGTTAACTCTGAAGTATTAAATAACAGGATCAAATGAGTAAGTAACAAGCCTCCATACCTGCTCTGTACCAGACAGGTGAACGGGAACGCGCTTTACACAGACAGTCTACTCACTCCTCACAATGATCACTGGATGAGGACGGCGTTATTATCTGCGTTTTACTGATGATTATACTGAGGCAGAGAGTAGTTTTGGAACAGAGTCCAAGATCAGAGATATGTGAAGCAGAGAATTTGGATTTTCCATCCTTGCAGTCTGGCTCCAAGATCCTGTACTAAAAACAATTAAGTGCTATAAAAACTGAAACTAAATAAAATGCAAGAATAGAGGTTGAATTTAACATCTATTACTCTTTGTGTGTGTGTGTGAGGAAGCTTGGCCCTTGCTAACATCTGTTGTCTCTCTTCCTATTTTTCCTTGAGTAAGATTCTCCCTGAGCTAACATCTGTGCCAATCTTCCTCTATTTTGTATAATGTACGCCGCCACAGCATGACTTGATGAGTGGTGTGTATGTAGTCCACGCCCAGAATCTGAACCTGTGAATCCGGGCTGCCAAAGGGGAGGGCATGAATTTAACCACTACATCACTGGGCCGGCTCCAACATCTATTAATCTTAAGAAATAATAAATAGTATGGCCAGCCCAATGGCGCAAGCGGTTAAGTGCGCACGCTCAGCTGCGCCGGTTGGGAACGGGGGGCAGGAACGGACACACTGCTTGGCAAGCCATGCTGTGGTGGCGTCCCATATAAAATGGGGGAAGATGGGCACGGATGTTAGCCCAGGGCCAGTCTCCCTCAGCAAAAAAAGAGGAGGATTGGCAGATGTTAGCACAAGGCTGATCTCCTTACAAAAAAAAATAAATAATAAATAATAATAAATAGTCAAAAATGAATTAAACATAAAAAATACCCCAGATATTCATATATGGAAAAATCTGGAGTCTGCAATGGAAAACACATATTCTTTTGAACTGCCAAAGGAATATTTACAAAATCTCTGAATATTTCAATTAAATATTAATATTTAATATTAAATAGACTCAGAAACTTTATCAAACCTAAGCATGAGAGATATGTTTCATAGCTATGAATAATGTGTGGAAAAGCCTGCATGGAAGAAAAGGGGGATTTAAACCTAGATGACCTCCTGACCCTGATTTTACATTTTGAAAATTATAGGACGATAATTCCATCCATGAGATGGATGTGTGAATTTGTGTGTGGGTGTGTTTATAAACCTACAAACAATAAATTTATACATAAGTATTAGTTTTCCGCAGCCAGTATTTAGGATGTAATGGCCTTCCTGGAGCTCCCAAGAAAATCTTGGATGATTTGATAGGAAAAGCTTGAATTCTTTCTACATAAATCTGGCATGAAAAAAATAAATCAATACATAGTGATAATGACCTCAGTTATGATCAAGCTCCCTCTAAAACTTTAGACATTTGCCGTGTGTTCTATATTCTGGTTTTTTAAATTCTGCTAACAACTAAGGTTGATGAACACAAATTATGGAGAAGTTAAACAGGGAAAAAATTGGAAAACAATATGTCTTTATTTGCATACTAGCAAACAAGAATTTAGCTCTCACTTCAACATCAGTTATGAAATAATCCAGCCCATGGCAAGGACACACAGTGTATAAACAGGAGTCAATTTGAGCTGTTTGGGAGGAACAATGTTTTTCATAAGGACAGCTTTGAGCTCTTCCATTGGCATACCCTGCTGCTGTCCTGCTTGACATCGGTCACGGAATTTGAAAGAAACAAGGACTTTCCTGAACATTCTAGCTGCACGTAGAAGTTAAGGACAGAATACTAAAGGAATCACAACTAGTGATACTAGACTTGGCTTTCTTTTCTTTCTAAACATGTTAACTTTACTACCAAGCATTTTTTGCATCCTAATAACGACAGAATTTACTCTGGGAAATTTTGCCAATGGCTACATAGCACTGGTGAACTGCATTGACCGGGTCAAGAGACAAAAGATGTCCTCAGCTGATCAAATTCTCATGGCTCTGGCGGTCTCCAGAATTGGGTTGCTCTGGGCAATATTAATAAATTGGTATAGAGCTGTGCTAACTCCAGTTTTATATAGTTTAGAAGTAAGAATTATTGTTTATATTGCCTGGGCAGTAAGCGACCATTTTACCACCTGGCTTGCTACTAGCCTCAGCATATTTTATTTGCTCAACATAACTAATTTCTCTAGGCTTATATTTCTTTACCTGAAGTGGAGAGTTAAAAGGGTACTTCTCATAACGCTGTTGGGGTCTTTGGTCTTTTTGGTTTCTTATCTTGCAGTGCTGTGCATAGATGAGAATATGCAGACTAATGAGTATGAAGGAAACATTACTAGGAAGACCAAATTGAAGGATATTGTACGCCTTTCAAATATGACTCTATTCACAATAACAAACTTCACATCTTTTACTATGTCCCTGACATCTTTTCTGTTGTTAATCATTTCCCTGTGGAAACATCTCAAGAAGATGCAGCTCAACGGCCAAGGATCCCAAGATCCCAGCACCAAAGTCCATATAAGAGCCGTGCAAACTGTGGTCTCCTCTCTCTTGCTACATGCCAGTCTCTTCCCGGCTCTAGTTATCTCAATTTGGAATCCAAGTAGGCTGCAGAATAAACTGGTTATTATGCTTTGCCAGGCTCTTGGAATGCTGTATCCTTTAAACCACTCATTTATCCTGATTTGGGGAAACAAGAAGCTAAGACAAGCCTTAAAAAATATAAGAAAGACTCTAAGATTTCCACACCATTAACCAATTTTTTTTAGGTAAGCAACCTAATTTTACAAAATATTGTAAGAAATTCCTCAGGATTAGGAAGCAATGTGTATTTCACAAACATATTTCACATTATCATCTTCCAATTGAAGAATTGATCATCTTTATTTATGCATTTTTAAAAACTGACAACTTTTCTCAAGAAATTGTTTCTATTTTCCATTGTAACTCGGACCAAATATATGTACCACAGTGTATCTAGCTTTTATTCTTTGAACCTCCAATCTTTTGGATGGTAATAATATTCAATTCTAAATCACACATTGAGGATGTATGTTTGGGATAAATGTTATCCCGCCATGAATTATTACTTCATGGTTAACAGAGAGCAATCAGAATTGTTGTTAGGAAAAGATGCACACAATAAAAGTCAAGAGTGACAAACATACTTAGAATAAATTTTATATATGTGTGCAATAAATAGTACCGAAGAAATTTACGTTTAATACAAATAGGTGAAAAGCTTAGAAAAAATAAGGATGAAGAAAGAAAAATGATCATGACCTGTTTTCAATGCTGCTATGTTTTCATATGCAGTTAGGAAAGTCATTTCTTACAGTTTTTGAATGAAGAAGACCTTTTGAAGTTGAGATCTGATGTCAAATTATTCAGTTTTACCCTAAACCACCTTTGGGCCTCTGAATTGCCAATCATCTCCTCCACCTTGCTACCTAAAGATTCTTTTTAAACTTCCGACATGAACACTCAAATCTTCGTGATCTTAAAATAAGGTTCACAATAAGAATAGTAACAAATTATGGTAACTAATTCAAGGAACTTTCTGAATATATTAAAATGGTATCTATGATGTCTATGTAATAATTATAGGGAATATCTTCAAGATCTGTTTTATTATAATTTTGCTGAAATGATGGAATAGAAAGTGTAACATATTATTGATAGCAAGTTCTATTATAAGAAAGAAATGTATAACCTTGTTCAACAACTGAATTTACATCTATATTAATTCTTAGTACTATGCAATTTTAACAACAATTTGTAAACTTTAAGATAAATCATTTCCACATCTGATTTATTCATTTGTTTTTAATCATCTGTCTGCCCCAGTAGAATATAAGCAGCATAATGTGGGGATCTTGTCTATCTTGATTTCTGCTGACTTCCCAGGAGATAAAAGCCAGCCCACAGAATAGTTGGTCCAAATGATATTCTGATGGCTTAAATAAAGGGACTTATAAACCATATTAGGGCTGGAAAACCAATGAAAATGAAAGTCCTCACAAAATCCGCAGGTTGCACGAATTTCCTGGTTTTGTCTCTTCTCCATTCAAATGCCTCTAAACAAATCCACACACTCTCAGTTCCATTTTTTTTTGTTTGTGAGGAAGATCAGCCCTGAGCTAACGTCTGCCAATCTTCCTCCTTTTGCTGAGGAAGACTGGCCCTGGGCTAACATCTGTGCCCATCTTCCTCCACTTTATATAGGACGTCGCCACAGCATGGCCTGACAAGCGGTGTGTTTGTGCGCGCCGGGGATCCGAACCTGCGAACCCTGGGCGGCCGCAGCGGAGCAGGCTCACTTACCTGCTACTGCCACGGTGCTGGCCCCTCTCAGTTCCAGTTTTTGCATTAGACCAGGTAGAGAAAATGCTGTCAGAAATCGGCTCCAAAACATAGAGTGACTCAAACACAAACTACATTTAATATTGCTCTTTTAGCAGTACTGATGTGTCTGAGGAATCTTCTCTATGCAGTTATCCAGTGAACCAAGCTGATCAAAAGTATGCCATCTTTAACATATGTCTTCCATGATTCCCTTGGAGTCAACTCCATTCCAGAGAGTAGGGAAGAGAAAGGCGTATGGAGGAGTGTGCATGGGGAAAGTTTTTAGAATGAGTCTGTAAATGGTGCACATAATTTTCACTCACATGCCCCTGTTCAGATTTCAGTCACATTGCCATAGCCATCTGTAAGGGAGGTGGGAAATATAGTCTCTCTATAGGCCAGAAAGAAGAGGAAAACATGCAATTTAGGACATGGAAGATGGAGGGCACTTAGTAATATTTCAATTGAAATAGCCAAGAAGTTATTATAAAACAAAAGAAGTTCCTGCGTTTAGAAGCATGACCTATCTTGTTCAGGTCACTTTGATAATTTGTACATATCCTTATATCAGTCTTGAATATCAGTTCTTTTTTCTATTTCTTCATAAATTTTAAAGAATTTGAGTTCAAACTGAATATTCCTATCTTCATAAACCCGTAATTGATTCTGCTGTGTAGCATTTACAGCTTCCTCATGTATATTTCCAGTATGTTTTGCTTATAACTTCTGATTTAGCTCTTACAATTTTAAGTACTAATTATTTATAGTTGTTTATTCTAGGAATTCAGTGTGTTTTTTGAACTAGAAATAATTCCATTAAATTATTTCTGTAAGTCATATTGACTCAACAAAAATATTTGCTAGGTAGAAGGATCTTATTGATGAGTAACAAATAATGACTGAATTATTAAAATTTAATATTAATTTTAATTATATAATTAATTTTAATTTCAAATTAAATTTTTTTCTAGCAATTGCTATTCAAAATCTAAAATGGTTGCATTCATATATATGGCACAGGGGAGGTAAAAAAAAGAAATAAGTGGAAAATAATTTCTCTCATATTTACATGTTTATATACCTGACTTCATCCTTTTAGTCATTAGCACAAATGAAAATTTGTAGCTGGTGCCAAGGATAAGTGGACATCATTAGCGTTTACTCTGTAAATTATATAGTAGCTGACTCGAACAACTAAGAAAGGTATTCATGATGCTTTGTATCTCTTAACAGAACTGTCTGGTTTATCACTGGTATTACGATATAAATAGAATGAACTATTCTTTTATGATGATCTCTGGAACTATATTAAATGGTAGAATTTTGTTTGTACTTTTATAATTATGATGAAAAAATTTATAGAAAGCATCACAAATGGATGTCAATCTGCAACTATTTAATTATAAAGCTGTCAGTGAGGCACAACTTTAGAAATATTTTAATAGAAATGTCAGTTGGAATGAAGGTCTCCTTTCTAGTCATGACAATAGGAGAACTCATCTTAGGAATGCTGGGAAAGGGGTTCATTGGACTGGTAAACTGCATCAAATGGGTCAAGAATGGGAAGATCTCATCAGGTGATTTCACCTTTACCAGCTTGGCTATGGCCAGAATCATTCAACTGTTGGTAACACTGTTGGTTCATTTATAATGGGGCTATCTCCACATCTGTATGCCACCAGTAAATGAGCAAAAGCGGTTACTATTCTTTGGGTACTAACAGATTGGTTAACTACCTGGTTTGCCGCCTGCCTAAGCATTTTGTTCTTCCTCAAGATAGCCAATTTCTTCCACTTCTTTTTCATCTGGCTAAAGTGGACAGTGAAGAGAGTGATTCTTGTACATTTCCTGGAATCTTTCTTCTCATTGTCTGTTAACCTCTTAATGCAGGATGCTCTTAGTGAGTTGTGGATGAATACCCATAGACTACATGAAAGACACATGACTTTGCATTTAGATGTAAATAAAATTTCCTATTTTAAAAGCCTTCTTCTTAGCTTGACTTATGTTACCCCTTTTCTTCTATCCATCACCTCTTTGATCCTTTTATTTCTGTCCTTGATGAGATACACCAAGAATTTGCAGCTCAACCTGATGGGAACAGGGGACTCCAGCACAGAGACCCACAAAAGGGCCATGAAAATGGTGACAACCTTCTTCCTCCTCTTCATCATTGACTTTATTTCCACTCTAATAGCAAGGTGGATCTTCCTTAAGGTACACAGGTATCAGGTTATGATGTTTGTCATGGTGATTTCAACTACCTTTCCCTCAGACCACTCATTTATCATAATCTTGAGCAACAGCAAGCTAAGATAGATCGCCTTAGACTGCTGTAGCATCTTAAATTATCACTTGAGAAAAGCAAAACTTTTAGATTCATAGGCAGATTTAAAAGGACTTCCTGTATTATATGGGAAAATACCTTAATAGATGACGTTGTAGGTTCATTTTCAATTTCAACGTCTCTGTCATCAGGTCCTTCAAAGTGTTGTTAAACAGCACAGATATTTCCCTTACAACTGTTCTTACCTAATCAAATTTTCTCAAGGTGATCTGACATAGTCTTCGATTAAAGGAAATATCTCTGCTATAATAACACTTGCTGGTAACAAAAGAGTATGTGAGACGAAGAAGAAAGATTAGAAAAATATATAATGAAATATTAATGAATGTTTATGTAATATACAATACAATAAGAAGAAATGTAGATGAAGTCACAGTTATACAAAGGAAAAACAGTAACTTAAGTTTCTCAAACTAAAGATAAATTGGAAATTAAAATAGGTAAAGAATTATAAAACATAAAGTGTAATAATGTTTTATAGAAATATCAAACTGTGAAAATTAGTCTGATATAAATTTTGGAAAGAGTATGAAGTAATGGAAATTTTCATATGCTATTCTTAGGATTAAAATTTGGTACAACTGGGCCGGCCCCGTGGCTTGGCGGTTAAGTGCGCACACTCTGCTGCTGGCGGCCCGGGTTCGGATCCTGGGTGCGCACTGACGCACCGCCTCTCCGGCCATGCTGAGGTCGCATCCCACATACAGCAACTAGAAGGATGTGCAGCTATGACATACAACTATCTACTGGGGCTTTGGGGGAAATAAATAAATAAATAAAATTATAAAAAAAAAATTTGGTACAACTACTTTGGCCAACAGTATGGCATATATGATTAAGGTGAAGATGCATATCCTAAGGGCCACTAATCGTACTCCTACTTTTATACCTTAGCAAATCTTTGCTACATATGCACCAGGATACATATACAGGAATGTATATATCACTATTATTCTTAATAACTAGGATTGAGATGCCACCCAAATTTCTGTCATTGATAAAAGGGATATAGTAGAATATGGATATAAGAGAATACTATACAGCAATGAAAATGCACAAATTAGAGCTCCATGTTTACAATAGAACCTGTATAACAATGAAAATTGAAAAATTAGAGCTACATAGATAATGCACATAGAAAATTGAGAGGAAGTAGCAAGACATAAAAAAATACTCAGTATAATCTCAGTTATATAAAGTTAATAAACAGGTGAACAATATAGTTTTTTTTAAAATTTATTACATTTGTGGCAAAACTCTAAAGTGAAATAAATTTATAATTATCATAATAATTGGGATAGTAGGGAGGGAGGAAAAGGAAGAAATATGATATCAACAAGAAGGAATACAAGGTGAGTGTCTGGAATGCTGACAAAATTCTATACTTAGACTAAAGTGTAACACAGGTATTAATGTTATGTTTTTCTTTTACTTTGCATTTATGTTTTGTTATGTCCCGTATGTATGTTATGTTTCAAAATAACAAAAATGTTTAGAAAGCAGAAAAAAGAAAATAAATTAGTGAATATAAAATTAAACTGGAGCCACATATTCTCATGGATACCATTGTAATTAGAGTTCTGGTTGAATAAAGAAGAATACAGGATTTGGGTATGAAATCCAAGTTAAAATTGAAAAAAATTTTAATTAATTGAGAAAAGGAAGATATAAGCAGGAATTATAAATCCACATTCTTAGTGCTAATCTAAATTTGAAACATCAAATTTTAAATATCTAGATTTTCCTTCACACATTGTTTTCTAACTTCCAATTTAATTATTTACAGTATATATTTTAAGGTGGCAGAAATTAGTGAATTTCCAATGAATTAAAGCACAGATATCAAATACATAGAAGAATTATCCCTAAATTTATCTTCAAATTAAATAACAACACTCTTCTTGCTACCATCCAAAGTTTCTAATCGTAATCACACACTAAGAAATGATGTGTATGTGTGTGTAGGTGACTCTGAATGTGTACACGTTTGTGGAGGCATATATTTTGTTACTGTGTTTTTTTAGTCTTTTGCTAAAGAAAAAAAGACATAGACATAAAAAATACTTGTAAAAGCATAATGCATATTCAGTGTAATGTTTGGATATGTTAGTGTATATGTAATGCTACTTTGACTGCTGTAATAAAATAACCTAGATTTAATCACTGTAGCTGGGAATGCAAATAAGCAGGTGGGAGAATTTTGATTGCTAATGATGTTCTTAAAAAAATGAAAGAAAGATTATAAACTGTTTTATCTTATAGAGGATATATGTATACGTCCATAAGAAAAGGCAATAAAAACAAAGTACTCTGTGTTTTAGCTAACTTTTGCTATAATTTTTAAAATGTAGTAAAGGATAAAGATAGCAAGTAAATCATCATAAATATGTTGATTTTCAGTTATTCTTGATGAATTAGTACATGAAGTTATTCTTTCAGGGTAAGCCCCAATGCTAAGAATGATATGAGAATCACAATGCCATAGGGAAGATTTATAGTCTTCTATCACAGTGAACTCTGCCCCCCAGAAAACTGGATGAAGTCACATCTTTCATTTACAGTTCTTCAGTTTATCTGCCATCATCATCATGATCATATTCATGATGTATCTCATTTAATGATATATATTTGAATGTTTATATACATAATTTGGATAATGTCTAAGTAATTTCCTAAAGAGTACCATTGTGGGTAACTTAGTAAACAGCAAAGTTTAAGTCAAGCTGAATACATGTAGAAATTGAAGTTGTATTAGTTTAAAAAATGTTACTTGAGCAAATTATTTATAGATGATTGTAAACTCATCAAGAGATAACTACAAAAAAGATTTAGCTTTTAGTGTAAATAAAATGCCTTTAACAAAAACATAAAGTAAATTAACCACTTTATGAACAAGCTCTTATTTCTAAAGAAAGGAATTTAGGAGTCAAAGAACCAAAGATTAAGCCCCTATATCTTGTATATCATCCTGGGTGGTGATGAAATTTCTGAGGTAATTATATAGGATGTGAACATCAGGGATCAGCAATCACGAGGAGCAAAAGTTTTCAATTTTGATGCAGTGCAATTTATTAATTTATTCACTTTATGAATCATGCTTTTGGTATTGTATCTAAGATGTCTACCAAACTCAACTTTAGAAAACTTTTCTTCTATGTTTTCTTCTAAAGTTTATAGTTGCTCCTCTTACATTTGGTCTGTGATCAATTTTGAGTTAATTTTGTGTATCGTATGAAATAAGGATCTAAATTCATTTTTAAACGTGTGAATAACTAATTGTTTATTTAACTTCGTTGTTGACAAAATATCATTTCCCCATAGATTGCCTTGATACATTTTTTGAAATCAAATGACCATGAATATAAGTGTTAATCTGGGCTCTCACTTGTGTTTCATTGATATATATGTGTGTCTTCATAAGAGAACCACACTAGCCTGATTAGTGCAGCCTAGTAGTAAGCTTTCATATTTGGAACTGTAATCCTCCAACGTGGTTCTTTTTTTAAAAAAAATTCTTTTGGCTATTCTGGGTGCTTTGCATTTCCATATACACTTTGGGAATGGTTTTTCACTTTCTGCAAATAGAGCCTACTGAGATTTGATAGGGATTGCACTGAATATGTAGATCATCTCTTTACCTGAAAAGACTCTCCTCATTCCAGATTTCAGTCTAGTTTGTCCTCCTTCCTTGCACAGCTCTCTGATGAATTTAAAATATAATTTTGCCAATGGATTCCCTGTATCCTTGTTGTTATAGGAGGAAATTTTGCCTTTTTCAACCTACTACATTGTACTCCTGAGTGGGAGTTCTCACAGGTTAACTCTGAAGTATCAAATAACAGGATCAAATGAGTAAGTAACAAGCCTCCAAGCCTGCTGTGTACCAGACAGGCAAACAGGAATGCGCTTTACACAGAGAGTATACTCACTCCTCACAAAGACCAGTGGGTGAGGATTGCATTATTATCTGCATTTTGCTAATGATTATACTGAGGCTGAGAGTAGTTTTAGAACAGGGTCCAAGATCAGAGATATATGAAGCCGAGAATTTGGGTTTTGCACGCTGGCAGTTTTGGCTTTAAGATCCTATGCTGAAAACAATGATAAGTGCTATAAAAATTGAAACTGAATAAAATCCAAGAGTAGAGGTTTATTTCAACATCTATCAACCTTAAAAAATAATACATGGTAAAAAATGAATTAATCAAAAAGAAACACTGGTATATTCATATATGGAAAAATCTGGAATCTGCAATGGAAAACACATATTCTTTTGATGTGCCAAAGGAATACTACAAAATCTCTATTTCAATTACATATTAATATTTAATGAATAGACAGAAATTTTGTCAAGACTAAGCATGACAGATATGTTCGATAGCTATGAATAACGGGTTGAAAAGCCTGCGTGAGAGAAAAGGGGGATTTAAATGTAGATGACCTCTTGACCTTGATTTTACATTTCGGAAATTTTAGGACAATAATTCCATCCATGAGATGTATGTGTGTGTGTTTATAAACTTATAAACAGTAAAGTTATACTTAAGTGCAGCATTTAGAGTGTACTGGCTTTCCCAGGGTTCCCAAGAAAATCTTGGATGCTTTTCATAGTAAAAGCTTGAATTCTTTCTACATAAATCTGACATTAAAAAAAAATAATAAATACTTAGTGATGATGATCCTAGTTAGGAGCAAGCTCCCTCTGATAGTTTAGACATTCACTGTAGGTTCTAGGTATTCGATTTTTAAATTTTGCTAACAAGTAATGTTGCTGAACATAAATTATGGAGAAGTTAAACAAGCAAAAAATTGCAAAACAATATGCCCTTATTTGCATCCTAGCAAATGAGCTTTCATTTCAACACGAGTTATGAAATAATCCAGCCCATGGCAAGGACACACAGTGTATAAATAGGAGTCAATTTGAGCTGTTCGGGGATTAACAATGTTTTTCATGAAGACAGCACTGAGCTCTTCCATTGGCATACTCTTGCTTTCCTGCTTGACATCAGTCATAGAATTTAAAGGAAACAAGAAC